AGTGCATCAAAAAAGCCATCTGCTTCTTTGAAAGATAGCATCCAGACTGAATGGATGCTCTCTTGTATTTAAGCTGTGATTGATATGGATGGAACGGCCGTTTTTCTGAAAAAACTTTATAGTGTAGATATACCCAGAGTGTCACTCTGTCAGCATAAAGCTGAACTGAAACCACTATAACTACCCGCTAGAGAAACTCTATCCTGAGACCCTCATATTTATACAGGTGGCATAGACAGTGTCCTCAGGTTGCTCTGGTTTTTGCCAACCAACATCAGAAGTAAGGGAACACAAACACTATCTTTGAGTTGAATATGGTCTACAACTGAGGATCTAATCATAAGTACAGAACTAACTCAGGGTTTGGTCCCAGGCAGTAAATAATAGAATACAGTAGTTCCTCATTTAACACTATAGATGCGTTTCTGAAAATGTTTGTGCTAAGCGAAAACGTGCTATGCAGGGTCAATTTTCCCATTAAAAATAATGGAAAAGTTGGGGCTTGCATTTCAGGTGGTGGTGGCAAAGTCAGTTTTTTGTTGGTGCTGGGTCATCAACGTCAACATTAGATATCTAGCAACACAAGATAACTAGCAACGCAAGTCGCCGCAGTTTTGTTAAAACACAAAGATAAACACGTGAGTGAGCGGAGGAGCACTGACCATGTGTATTCATCCGCTCATGTGTATTACCACTGTTTTCACCAACTTATACTGCCGTACGAAATAGTCTGCCACTTGATTATTTTCATCTTATTTCGGAGACTGTCGTGTTATTCGAAAAATGTTCCCTAAAAATAAAATCGTGCTATTGCAAAAATGTGTTAAGCGGGCACGTGTTAAATGAGTAATTACTGTACTTTTATATAATTTCCCTTCCCCAGTTCCTTCCACTCTGCCAATGATACCCATATCAACAGCCATTTGATTAAATCCTGTTACAATATGATGGCTTTAAGTTGCCCATGATGAGTTTGAGAGTTATAGCCCAGATCCCAGAAAAGTCCCAGTGGTAGCACACCGCAATACCCTCAAGTCATTACTAATTAAGACAAAATCAGAGCTAAGTTACAGCTGAAAAAGTGGACTGAACAAATGGCACCATTGGCAGACTATGAATTCAAGAATGGAATGGGCAAGGAGACTGCACTTTCAAACATGTACCTTGGAGGTTAGGTGCATTAGGGGTCCAGTTGGTGGAAGTTGCAGGCCTGTGGAGATGCTTGCTTGGCCCCTGGGCAAGGTGGGAAGGAGCTCAGCTTCATGCCCCTGGAAGGGGCAGAACCTTGAGGAGCAAAAGGGGCAGGATTGAGGCTAGCAGTTAACCATTCAGGAGTGCCAGCACATACCATGCTGAACTCTGGTGGTGATTTACATAGCACAGGCTCTGGCTGTTGATGCAATAGGGTCTGTGATGGCCAGAAGCCCCCAGCCCTTTTAAATCACCATAAGCTCCCATCCCCTCCTCTCATTGGCAGCACTGGGAAGTTGTAGAATTGCTCAATGTTTGTACTCTGAGAAACAGATGGATTTTGTCTCTGGGGTTGTCAGTATGGCACCTTTCATGAGCTCTACATTCACACATAGAAAATAAAAACAGAACAAAGACCATTGCTTACAAATTTCTTATGCATCTTGAAAGATCACCTAATCACATGAGAAATTCCATTTCTCCAGCCTTTGACTTATTATTTATTGAAAACACAGGAGGAAGGTGCCCCGATATCTGAGCTTTGTGAAAACCTTTGCCCCTTCTTCATCACAAGTATTTTTTACTTTATATTTCCAACAGTCTAGGGTTAGGAGACTCTTCTAATTATGGTTTTGTAGCTGGCATCCTACAGCTATCCTGAGAATTTTAATTTCTCTGACTATGAATGCAAATACTTGTGCTCCTCACTTGCACTTGGCAAGGTTTTGTATTATTTGAGAATAGAAGAATATTTGTGTTTCTGGAGGAAAGTCATAGAATCCTTTGCACATACAATTTTACAAAAGCAACCATGTTTAATTAAAGTAACCATATTCTCTTTAATCTACTATCTCCTATATATAAGTATTTTGAGTACTGTAGTAATCTTTTTCACCTTAGAAGACACTATCCCAATTTATTTGTTTGTTTATTTCCACCATCATCAAAATTATTACTATGTTATCTTATTTTACTGAATTCATTTGCTGTTCCCCAAAGCTAGCCATATCACTAGATGCAGTCCACCAAATTGTTGCTTTGAAATACAATGAATTATTAAGAACACTAAAAACATTTGTTTATTAAAATGAATGGGGCTAATCTTCATAGTGTTCCACAAAATCTCATTTTGCAGCATTTTTGCATTTTCATGTACGTGTAAAATAAACATTGCTTTACTGAGAATGTTAAAATATATATCTGATGATACACTTATCATTAAACAAACATACCTGTGTTACAGCTGCCAAAGGGGAAATCTTAGACCACAATCTTTCAGTCTGATCAATGTAGGCACACACGTGCTTGTGGGGATTTCCAACAAGGTCATGAGTTTAAGGGGCTGCACTAGTAGATCCTATTACAAGATCAGGGTCATAGAAAGTAAAGCACTAATTCTGACATACTTAGACACTCTCGAATCTCAGGACTGCATGCATGTTACAGGATTTTATTCACAATTATTTGTATATGCAATTGTGTGCACAGTAATTTCTGGGTTGTAAGGACGGAGTCTGTATTTATAAAAACAGCACTGGCATAATATCTAATATCAGAGGCATAATATCATAATATCAGAGGCAGCAGCGTGGGATGCCAGGCTCCTCTCATGGTCTGGCTGCCTGTTGCCCCACCCTACAGATGCAACAGTGTGGGGTGGCAGCAGCCCCTGACCAGGGGTGGGAGCTGATCTCCTGGGCCTGGCATGAGCCTGAACTGAGCTTGGCTGCCTGCCTGCCTGGTTCCTAATGCACTTTAAGTGCAGAGCCACAGTGCGGGTAGCCAATACTGAGACAGGCTGCTGGCCAGCCTGCTAAAAAAATTACTGGTGGTGGTGATGAGAATGTGTGTAGTCTCTTGCATTAACCGATAAGCTTTTGCTTGATTAATTATCGGTTAATTATCGGTTAATTGACTACACTATTACATCCCCACCCTGAGCTCGCCTGCAGGCATCACCTCTCCCGCATCTCCTTTAGTCCCTGATTTCTGGCCAATGGGAACTGCAGGGGCTGAGCCTGCAGGCGAGAGAAGCAGAGCTGCTTCCCAGTGCTTGCAGTTCCAGTCCGGGGGAAGGGTGAATGGTTGAGCACAGAGCCACATCCCTTTCCTGCCAGGCATGGCCAGAATATAGGGGCTTCAGTGGATGCCGCCCAGGTCTCTGAACTAAGAAGACCCCACAAAAAGATCTGCACTTTTGGTAGCCCAGTAATCTTTTTGTGGAGCCCTCCCGCCCCCTTAACCCAGGGCCCTGAGTTGCAGCCCCTAAATTTGCTTTCTTAATTTGGCCCTGTTTCCATGGCCAGCCGCATCCCCCAGCCACTCCCATTGCCCACAGACTCACTCACAGGCAGGCAGCCTCCAGACCCATCCCCCCACCACCTGTAGGATCACTACTGAGTCGGGCAGCCTCCTCCCCCAAACCTCTGAGCTCTACATCAACTCCAGCCCCCAGCCCTGCTCTCAACAGCTCCCCCATCGGAGGGCTCAGCACAGGCTCTGGCCACTTGCAACTGCCCCCCCACCCATGAGGGGTTCAGGCAGGCTACCCCTCCTATGGGCTCAGCACAGACTCCAGCCATCCCATATCCATTCCCCTGGCAGCCACTCCCTCCATGGGCTCAGCATCCGCTCCAGCCGCCCCTTGTCCCCACTCCATGGGCTCAGTGCAGGCTCTGGCCACCCCCTACCCCATCCCCCAGCTGCACCCCTCCCCCCATGGGTATTGAACCCAGCCCCTGTTCATCAAGAGGTGGAGAGGGGCACAAGTGCAGGCAGGAGGAGAGGGAGCCACCACACTGCTAGTGGTTGGAAGGACGCAGTGTCATAAAGGGGAAGCTGAGCAGCCAGAAGAAGCAATGCTTTAAACCATCACTGTCATTCAGCCACCGGCTGTGCGGTGGCCTCTGCTCCTCCGACCTATGCTCACATCACTTGCTCCCTCCTAGTGGGGGATGGGGGGGCAGGGTATGGGTTGGGGGCTGCTATGCTGATCCTACAGGAAGAGGAGATTGGTGGGGGGATCTGCCAGAGTCTGTATTGAGCCCATAGGCATGGAGAAGAAAGCTGAGGGTTGAGGCTGGCTGCTACCCTCCAGCCCTCTCTCACCTTGCTCAATGCCACCTACGCCTCTTGCCTGCTCCCCTGAGGTTGTAGGTGAGCATTCGTACATACAGACATTTGTAACTCGAGCATCTGTAATTTGGGGAGTGCCTATTTGTCACAAATGACTAAATAGAGGATGCTGAATAGCTCAGATGATTGGGAAACAGTCCAAATCTCATTGAAGTAGAGGACCAGAGTGACCTAGACAGATTAGAGGATTGGGCCAAAAGAAATCTAATGAGGTTCAACAAGGACAAGTCTAGAGTTCTGCACTTGGGATGGAAGAATCCCAAGCATTGTTACAGGCTGGGGACCAACTGGCTAAGTAGCAATTCTGCAGAAAAGACCTGGGGATTACAGTGGATGAGAAGCTGGATATGAGTCAACAGTGTGGAGGCAGGAAAAGGGAATAAGGGAAATTGTGTGCAGCTATCTTGGTCTTGTTAACAAGAGAGCAAGAGTCAGGCTAAGTCTGTGGCCTGACAACGCAATATCTGTAATTAGACGCTGCCATACGAAGATAAGGATAGAATGCTGACTCTGGCAGGGACCTTGAGATAAGGAGCATCTGGGTGGAACTAAAATAACTGTTAGCCATTGGTGTTTGTAATGGGAAGGAGACTAATTGTTATTGTTATTATATCTAATGGACAGTATATAAACTGCTTCATAATTGCTTGTATTCGAAGATCTGCCTCGGGGGGGGGGACTTCCCCCCAGTCCGAACCAGTTTTTCCCTTGCTGCAGCTCGTAATAAAACTGCCTCTGGCTACTTGTTGCTTACAAACACAGAGTGAGGACAATGTTTTCTTCCACAATTTGGTGCCGTGACTCGGATGGCAATGCCCGATTGAAGACAGCGACAGTGGCTGCAGACCGTCCCCCTTCACCTCCAGGGCGCCAAATGAGAGGTAAGAGACCTTTTGAAATCTCTACTGGGGTGTGGAGGAGGACTGCCTTTAGGGTCGTCTGCTTCTTGTGGGCTCACGCCATCCGAACTTCAGAGTGAGGACAATGTTTTCTTCCACAACAGTGTGCCCTTGTAGCCAAGAAGGCTAATGGCATATTAGGTTGCATTAGGAGGAGCATTGCCAGCAGATCTAGAGAAGTGATTATTCCCCTTTATTCAGCTCTGGTGAGGCCATATCTGGAGTATTGTGTCCAGTTCTGGGGCCCCCACTATAGGAAGGATGTCGATGCATTGGAGAGGGTCCAGCAGAGAGTGACCAAAATGATTAGGGGGCTGGAGCGCATGACCTATGAGGAAAGACTGAGGGATTTGGGTTTGTTTAGTCTTCAGAAGAGAAGAGTGAGGGGGGATTTGATAGCAGCCTTCAACTTCCTGAAGGGGAGTTCCAAAGAGGAGGGAGAGAGGCTGTTCATAGTAGTGATGGATGGCAGAACTAGGAGCAATGGTCTCAAGTTACAGTGGGAGAGGTCTAAGTTGGATATTAGGAAAAACTATTTCACTAGGAGGGTGGTGAATCACTGGAATGGGTTACCTAGGGAGGTGGTGGAATCTCCATCCTTAGAGGTTTTTAAGTCTCAGCTTGATTTAGTTGGGATTGGTCCTGCCTTGGGCAGGGGACTGGACTTGATGACCTACTGAAGTCTCTTCCATCTCTATGATTCTAAGAGGGTCCTATTTACTTCAATATGTGTGGGATCAGGCCCGCAGGGTGTGTCTAGACTACATTACTCTTTCGAAAGAGGAATGCAAATGAGGGAAATGAAAAATGCAAGTGAAGCGCAGATTTACAAATCTCACACTTCATTTGCATAATTGCATCCAATCACTTTTTTGAAAAAGATTTTTTTGAAAAAAAAAAACACAAAAAAAACAGTCTAGATGCAGTTCTTTTGAAAAAAATAAGGGTTCTTTCAAAAAAGCGATTGGACGTGATTATGCAAATGAAACAAGATTTGCATTCCTCTTTCGAAAGAGGAATGTAGTCTAGATGCATCCTACGAAATTAGAGCCTTTTACCTGTTGGCCACTGAAGTCAATGCCTCCTAAAAGAAAGGGCTACCTGCAAATATATCTGTATATTTTGCAATAAGTTGGTCTCAGTTAAGTCCTCAGTACACAGGTGTTCATTTCCAAAAATCCATCTCAACTTGCAGCCTATCCACCCTGTTGGAAGTTTCAGTATAAAGATTTAAGGGCCAAGGAGTAAATGGGCATAGAGACGGAATTACTCTATGGCTATGTCTAGACTGCAGGCTTCTTTCGAAAGAGGCTCTTTCGAAAGCATCTTTCGAAAGAGCCTCTTTCAAAAGATCGCGTCTAGACTGCAGGCGGATCTTTCGAAAGAGAAATCCGCTTTTTCGAAAGAGAGCCCCCAGCGAGTCTGGATGCTCTCTTTCGAAGACGGCCTCTTTACATTGAAGAACGCCTTCTTTCGAAAGAGGAACTTTCGAAAGAAGGCGTTCTTCCTCGTAAATTGAGGTTTACCGCCATCGAAAGAAAAGCCGCGTTCTTTCGAAATAATTTCGAAAGAACGCGGCTTGAGTCTGGACGCAGGGGAAGTTTTTTCAGGAAAAGGCTACTTTTCCCGAAAAAACCCCTGAGTCTGGACACGGCCTATCTGTCCTGTATGCGATCCTTCCATGGCAGTAACAGGTTTATATTCATTCTATTGGGCTCATCCAATGCCCAGTTAAGTCAACAGAAGTCTTTCCATTGATTTCATGGGGCTGTGGACACAAAAATGAAGATTTTGTGAAAATTTCCAGAGAAAGAGCTAAATCACTTCAATGACCACTTAAGTTAAGGGCCAAATTCTGTCCTAAATCACGCTAAAATGTGAATCTGAAGTCATTTAAGCTAAGAAGTAACTCCAGACTTAAACCGTCTAAAAGCAGAATCTGGTCCTTTTTTAGCTTTAAAGAGTAACAAATAACTGTCTGAGGTTAACTGCTGTGACCTGGAAATAAACAAATCCACCACCTATAGAATGTTCACAAAGAAAAAGTGAACAGCACAACCTTTAGTTGCTTGGTTTCAGGGAGATGTAGATTTTTGGTTATTGTTAGGATCCTGGCTTGCTTTATAGATGACCACAGCCCAGCTGCAAGCAAACACACAATTCTTGCTAAATTAAATATCACAAATATAATTTTAAAACTACAGCTGCCACTCTCTCTAAAAAAACAAACCTTTAAACCTAAGTTGGAGATATTTTAAGAAGCTATACTACAGCAGAGCTACTTTAACACTGACCTTTTCACGATAATGACAAGGATTGCTCACTCAAAGTACATCACTATTTCCTGCCCCAGCATCACACATAATGTACACATTACTACCGGATGGAAAATATGTATAAAAAAAAAAGCTTACATGTTGCCAGAGTCCAACTGCATACAGCGTTATTTCCACAGGATGACTATTAAAAAAAAGCTACACAGGAGCCAAATTAATCTTTAAAACTTCCTTTATTGGTAAAAGTTCCCAAACTAACCATAGTTTTTCTCTTTTAAAGAAACAAATAACTGCTATCAGAGAGTTGCCAAACTGCCTGCAGCACACACAACTTTGTTACTCAATTGACAGCTCATAGATCTTTCTGATTGCATTGCTTTTAAAAGAAGAGGTGAATATTTTGCATCTGATTGCCTAGCCTGGACATGCAGACCACTATATAACAACTATCAAAGCTTTTGAGCATGTCAGATAATACAGGTTGAACCTCTGTAGTCCAGCACTCTTTTGTCTGGCAACATCCATGGTCTGGCATGATTTTAGTTAGCAGAATGTCCACTTATCATGGGTATAGCCAAGTTTCCCACACTCCCAAATAACGTGCTATTTCGAGCAATCCTTTAACCCTTGTGTAACAAGGTTTACTGGGATGGTGAAACAGCATGCCCATTATTTTGAAAAATATTTCAAAATAATGGATGGCTTCTGTAAATGTGGGGTAGCAATTTTACCAAAATAGCCGAGCAGTGTAGACATACCCTGAGAGAATCGTGTAAACAATTAATCTTCTCACGTGGCTAGTTATTTCCTTGCAAATAATTTAAAGCATGAAAACTGATAGGTAAACAATAATTGCCCACATGCACTTTAAAAAGCTCTGTTGGAACAACTGCAGCAAATAAACATGAGTCACTGGTGGAATTTTTATAACAATACAAATTCAAATATTACTGGATATCTTCAACTTGTGGAAAATAGGGACTTATGTAGAGTATTCCACTATTCATACTTGGAAGAGTTGGTAAAAGTACACGAGATTAGGCAAAGAATTTAAAAAACCTAAATGCAGAGATATATATTAATCTGAGATACATTTTACACTTTTGAAATGACCAAAGAAATAAATGCATGAATTCAGAGGCAATTCTTAAGGTCAGAAAAAGAAAAGCCAAAATGTTAGCGTATAAACAACATGGAGTCATTCTCTAAATTAATTCTAGCTAACACATTTGGAGTCTGATTGTTTTATCCAGAGTTGGGAAGGCATTTCCCCCAGGTCAGATTGACAGGGACTTAGTGGGTTTCACCTTTTCCTGGGGAATTAGTTACTTTCTGGAATTATCTGGGAATATCTCATTTAATCATGTCCCTGGCATTGTGGAGGCATTGGACATTGGTGCACCTCAGTTCTTCCTGTTCTCTGCCTGGGACATGCAATAATTCAGTCTCCTGTTGTCTAATGTTGGTTGTTTATTATGGAGGTGTCGGTGGCCTCTGATATATAGAAGGTCAGGCTCGATGTCCTGAAGCTGTTTTCTGGCCTTGAGCTCTATGACCCAGAGAGGGAACAGGTACTTACTGAACTCCGCATTTCACTCAATCCTTAATTTTCAATTGGGCCAGGACTGAGCTAACTAGCTCCCAGTTCTACTTATTATCCAGGTGTCATGTTGATTCTTAGAGATATCTATTTCAACTGGATCAGTTTATATTGTGTCACATGAGCAGAATGTATAGTTTGGACACGTGAGGTACACTAATTAGAGGGCACCTAATTAATTAACTAGGCTGCACCACTGCTGCTTAGTTTTTAGTCCTCAAGATGCCTAAGAGAAAACAATTATCTTACTGCTTGTTTTTTCCCCTTTTGTCCACAGTAGCAGTGGCCAAATGTATTGTTCCTCTAAACCACATACAACAATCTTCTGCAGTTCGAGAGCCAGGGAGCACCTGCCAGGGTTTGGAACTGAAGCTCCAGCATTGCCTCCCGCCCCACAGGGCTGACACCCTAACTACCTCATCCCTGGGGAGTAGAAACCAGAGGCAACATGGAGGAGGATACATGGGTCATGTGCCCTCTCAGACTTTTGCCAAGGTTTGCTGGCCCCACTCAAGCATGTGGTGCCACTGGGGCCCTACTCTGCATGCAGCTGCTGGAGTTGGCAAACTGGAAATTGCTTCTTGGCTAAGAGAAGCAGCAAACAGCTGGGAACTGCAGCAAGAGCTGACGCTTTTGCTGCTGCCTCTCCCCAAGGATCTAAAGCAGAGGACCCTCCCTACAGTTCCTGGCTGTTTTCTGCAGTTTCTGGCTGTTTTCTACAGTTTCTTCATCTGCTGCTAATACCGGGGAGCTGAAGGGAGGAGCCACTGAAGGAAAGGAAAGGAAAGGAAAGGAAAAAGAGAGAGGGGGGGGGGTCTGTCTGTCTGTCTGTCTGTCTCTCTCTCTCTGTCTCTCGCTCTCTGTCTCTCGCTCGCTACTGGCAGGACTAAATCTTTCCATTGTGCCCACCCACATTCTCAGTAGGCACGAGACATATCTGATAGAAACCTTTAGCACCATCACTCCACAGCATGGCAGAATAGAGCCCTTTGTTGATACAAACATATATCTGCAGATGCAGATATCCACAAGTGTAAATAAGTATCTGCAGAATTGCAGGGATCTCTCAGGAACCACAGCAGTGGAAGGAGCAGAACATGGAGTCA